TAATTGTTTTTACCTGTGACTAGATTCTACTGCTGTCCCTTGTACATAATCAAAGACATAATCGATTACATAATAAATTCATGATTGACTGACGACATCAGCTGACATTGACAACATCAGCATAACCTCAAAGCAACACAGCAATATCCAAAGAAGCCTTTATAGCATAAAAATCACAAGAACACATCTTTTGAATAATCCAAAAGAATTATTTATTTCTACACAACAGTGCAATATTATAATAATTGTTTACACTCATTAACCTTGTTTTTAAATAAATATATTATATTTTTCAGCCTTGTCCGTTATTCATTTCCTTTAAAATTATCCTGCCGAGAGACTAATCCACTGAACTATTGAATTGGCAGTTCGAGCCATAAGCTAACCCTTTAAATCCGAACAATGATTATAAAAAGTACTCTTTTAAACCTATACTCAGCATACAAGTACATAACTATGTTGTAATGATATTTATGGAATATTTAAAAATAAATAACAGGTTAAAAAAGTTTCAGGAATTTGATATGTATTTTACTTGATATGTATATATATATATATATATATATATATTTTATTCGAGAAAATCCCAACGGTTATAATTTCTATTTAATCCTCCAACGGTTATAATTTCTGGGAAAACCTCCAATGGCTGTTGAACATCTGGAAATGCCGTGGAAATCCGAAAAAACAAGTGCATAATCACATCAAATGTTTCTAGAATCGCAATCGCCTCCATAGTTGTCAAATAACTAAGCTGTCGCGTGGATATTTAAGACAAGCGCACCACCAGATAGGTGCTACTCAGTCATTGGATAGTCACTCAGGAACACACTTTGTTTTAACAGGGCAGCTGCGCTCTCACAGTGGAGACGCCAAGGAAGAAAGAAGCTATCTCAGCAGAGCCGCGGCGGAAGGCACACGCGTTCAGTTTCCTATAACTACTCAACATTGAAGCTCACGCATAGTGCCAAAGCGCACGAAGTGGTTGCAGGTGACTCTCATCAAGAAACCTCTCTTACTGAGTGCTAAAGTGCATTCTCAGCAAGAAACCTCTCTTACTCAGTGTCAAAGTGCACTCTCAGCAAGGAACCTGTTACGGATTGCAGCAGTTTTTAAGCGGAATAAAAAGTGGGAGAGGTATGAGCGCGCGAGCATTTGTTTTGTAAAAACTGACTAACGAACTCAAAGAATGCTTATAACACAAAAACTCGAATGTACTACTATAATTCCAAAGGTAATAACAAATGAACTCTACAAGTCTATGCCCTGTTGACGTCACGAAAAATATCGGCATACCACCGATGCACTATCGGCGCAGCTAGTTTGTACGAGAACATTTAAGGAGCTGCACATGACGCTCTCGATCTCTTACTAGTTCAATCAAGCAATCATCAAGATCAAATTGCTGTTCTACAAGTCAACGCCATTTACACAGAGATCGCCTTCAATTCACACAAATCGCCGTCCTACAAGTCAAACACTACTTATATAGAGATCACCTCCAATACACAACGATCGACTCCACACACGTAAGCTACGCTATTACATACGTTCTTACGAATCACTAACACACGGCTCCATGAACTAAGTAAGCAGCAATACCTAAACCACGGCATCATTGCCATTCATCAGTGACGTCACACACTAGCGCCCCACCCAGGCCTCTCCAGCTCATCGGTAGCGGCAACGGCGGTATCAATTCTCCTCACAAGCGACGTCACACACCAACGCCACCACCCAGCTCTCTCCAGCGTATCGGTAGCGGCAATCGGTGACGTCAATACTCACCTTTCACACCGTGAAACTCTTCACGGCATCATCATCCTTTATCAGCGCATTTCCCACTACCACTACGAGTCCTAACCACAAGTAGGAGAATCACGCACCACACTCAAGAATACACTTATAAGAGTATCATCACTCATATTACCTGAAGAAACTCACATATTCATTGTATCATACATTCAATCTCACCTCAATGGACCACTGATTATTTATTATATTATTATTTTCAATAAAGGGAAAACAAATTCATACAAGGGCAGTATTGAATTATTGTATTGTCCATTCCACTTGCCAGCAAGCCTCCCACACACAATCATAGGGAAGCTGTTAGTCTAATTCCAGACAGAACCTCTCTCATTAGGTGCCAAAGCGCACTCTCGGCAAGGATCTCTTATTCAGTGCCAAAGCGCACTCTCAGCAAGTGTTTACTTCCACGAGTCAGTGCAAGTATACACCACTCGACGCCACATCAAGGTATGTAACCATTTCTTCCCACTTCTACTTCAAGGAGAACACCAAGGAGAAGACCACAATTAGGTGACGTGGCACTACGCGAAGAAGTGTCCAGAGATTTATGACCTCACACTTCTGTATGTAATAATCCACCACCAAGCACACCGCGTTAAAAGGATCCGGAAATTTACGACCTTCTACCTCTACATGTAGTGCATGCTAACATCACGTGGCAACAACCAAGGAACGGCAAGATCTCAGCAATTCTCATCGTCAACGTAGAATCAATATAGTGTAGTTGTAAAATAAAATGCAATAACAAGCATGAAACGCAGATGTGTTGAATACTGAATTGAATTATTGCCCCTTCCACTTATCCACACTTCTTTCCCACCAGTAAACTCGGGTATATATTCTGATTTTAAACAATATTTTATTATATTTTCTTTGTGGTTTATCACCAATGAATACTTTTAAGGTTGATTACCATTTGAAAACATAAATTATAAGTTTTTTTTACCAACAATTCAGGTGTTATAGATTACAACTACATAATCAATAAAATATCTTGACTGATGATCTCTCATTGTCAATCTCTTTATGTAATAGCCATAATTTCTTTTAAAATGGAAAATAATCCAATGTATGTCATCGGTAAAATAAATGTTTCAAAAAAATACACGTATGATTTTTGCATGTAAGATAAACGATGTAATGCGTCAGTCACAATACACTTGTTTCTAACCCACAGCAAGTAAATTATAGTAGACTATATTCTACAATATAAATAATATATATAATACATTAATATAATAGATTAATGTTCTTTAATTTTAATGTTTTAACTCTAAAAGTATAATAATACGTTATTGTAATAATTATCGTCAAATAAGTAGCCCATATTAAATATATTCTTCAAGCAAGAAATACAATAAGTAATAATCATTTCCAATATATTTAAACCAGCATCTGGAATAAAGATGGTTACATAGCATTGATAGAGTTTAATAAACCAACCATGAGTGAAATGCATTTTAAATAGACAAATAGTTTTACTTTCTTCAATCATAAAAATATAAGACAATTCATTCGAGATAACAACAATTACTTTGACTTAATGTTTTAATATTGTAAAATATAGTTATATATAAAAGTTTAAATAATAAAATTAAATTGAGAAGTATCTAAATACAAATATTGAGCTAATAGAATAGATGTTTTTAATAAATTATTATTATGAAATAAAATTTTTTTTATATCTATTTATTAATTATATTTAATTAATATCTATAATGATATTTTATATATTTGAAACATATTTCTTTGAAATATAACATATTATAATATTAGACATAGAATTATAATATAAGGTATTTTTAATTATTTTCTAATTTAAAATATAAGTATGAATTTTAAAATGACCGGTTTAAATATAAAGTAAGACAATGGGAAAATGGTGTGATACTTCATACAGGTACATAAACAGATGAGCGCGAAAAGGATACTTTTTCATTAACCTACTAGTCGTGTTCTTAAGTTATAATATGATAAGTGTTTAAAAGTAATAACTTATTTTGTGTAAATTTATTTCATTGATATAGTAATTTTTTTTTTAATCAATAGAAATTTATTTTTTATAAATTTATATGTATGAATTGATTATGTAATACAGAAGTACATGTAGCTAAAAAACTTATTACAATTTTTGGAATATAATTTATTTATTATTTAAAATTTATGTAAAAAATTATACATTGAATTTATATTATTTTGCTTAATACTTGACAGTGTATAAAATATGGAGCAATTAAAATTATTTGAAAGTGATTGTGAATCAAATTTACAAAACAATTTTCTGACTACACCTTGTCGAGTTCAAAAAAGGTTATTTATACCATGTAGTAGTTCTAGTAAAAGAAGTCTATTTCGAGAGGAAAAAGAAAACGAAAATATCTCAGAAACTGATTCTGATTTAGGACCTATGTCCCCTTTGGCTCTTACAGATCATAGCAGTTGCGATAGTTCACCAGGAAGGCAGTTTATATCTCCTTTTGCAACACCTGAAAAAATATCAATGATTTCAATATCAAATTATGATCATTTAAAACAAACATCCATAAGAAATGACTATGATGAACTTGTATCATCATCCAATTCAGTGAGACAATTTATTAAATCTGCTAGATTATATCAAAAGTCAATATGTAAAATTTCTGCAGAATCAAAATTATGTAGATTTAATATAAATTCTGAATTGGGAACTACTATAACTACGGATTCAAATATTCAAACTGATTTGGAAAATGATGTAGTTCCAGAAACACCTAGAAAGGAATTTAAATTTAATGATCAAGAATCATATAATTTAGAATTACCTCATAAACAAAGAAATTCAGATTACAGATTAAGTGTACCCTTAGAATCAATAAATAAAAGTATTCCAGTTCCTAGAATATATAAACGAAAACCTTTAAATTCTTGTGAATTTGATATAAATACATCACCAGAAATAAAAAAATGTATTATAAAAAATCATTGTGAAAATTTATTATATGTGTCAAATAATAAGTATCCACAGAATAATGAGTTGCCTTTGATACCTAAAGCTAGAACAGCATTGTTTCAAGAAAATAAAATTATAACTAAAAATAAAAAAGAATTTACGTTAAATCCAAGATCATTTTATGGTTCTAAAGATAAACCATTTAAGTCTGCTGAAATGGAATGGAGAGAACCGCAATCTGATTTTAAAAAAAGACGAAACTTACCAGCATATAGCTTTATACAAAGACGATTGATGAAAAAGCATAATGGAGAAATTAATTGTGGTGTTGGTCATGGAATCAGAAGACCAAAATCAAAACGCCAATTTTTCTTAAATAATGAGATAAAAGCAAAAAAACAAAATGATTCAAACAGTAAAGATAGCTTATGTAAAGAAAATATAATTTTTCCAACTGTAACTGTATCAAATAATTATAATGAAAAGACACTTTCAAAAGAAATTGATCATAGCAAAAAATTTTTTAAATATAAACTTGGTCATAAAGCAATTGTAACAGTCAATGATAATATAAAACTAAAAGTTACTTTTAATAAACAAAAAACTAAACATATTCATAAAAAAACTAGATTAGACAAACAACTTTTTGATGCTACTGATCTGTCTGAAGCATTTGTTGAACCATTACTAGAAGAAAATAAAGTAGTTAATATTTTAAAGCTTTTAGAAAATGACTGGGCAGAAGATAATGATGAAGCTATGGAAACAGCACAGATAGTTTGCTTAAAGATGAATAAAATATCACCAAAAATATCTAATACTATATTAAAAGATGTGACAATGTCTCCAGCTAGTGAACTCAGCAGTATGGCATCTGTAATGAATATTGAAGATATTACAATTTGTACAGATGACAGTATAGCAAAAAATACAGAAATTATGAAAGTAAATGAAATATCTAATTCCAAATTGTATCCATTATTTTCCAAAGGTTATTCATCAAATATTATTAATGTGTAAGGAAGATTCTATTTTGATTAAAAAAAAATATATTGATTTCAACTTTTTGTAAAATAAAAATTTTTTTCAGAAAAAATAATTCTAAAAAACGTAAGAGAACTACAAGTTGGCAATTATCAGTAAAAAGTGGTAATGTTGAAAATCAGTATCAAATAGATGCTGGACAAAAAACATTTGGTATAAATCAATGTAACGAGTGTGGAGTATTGTATCATATTGGTGATCCAGATGATGAAAATGCTCATTTAAATCATCACAATAATTTTAAAATTTTAAAATTCCCAGTACAAAGTTAATCAATTAATTTATTTTTATATTAAACAATAGTTCTTCATAATGATTTCATTTTAGGGTTGGAAAAATGAGCGGGTAATTTATGAAGACTCTTATAACCTAAGTCATATCATTTTAATAGAACCCAAGGATTCTAATTTACATTGGAAGAAAGTAAATGAAATTTTAGAAATTGTTGATAATGATTTAGGACTGTCTGATATGAAACTTTCATTTTATAGAGATAAGAAGGTAATTATAATTCAAATCTTTTTAAGGTTTTGATTTTCTTATTTATATTTTTAAAAATTCTTAGGTCTATATGTACATTAGAAATAAAACTATTCTTGGTATATTGGTAGCAGAATATATAAAACATGCATTTAAAATGATACCAGAACTAATTGAATTAAACTGTTGTACATCTGAAGCTACTGAAGTAAAATGTGGTATAAACGTTGTTTGGACAGCATTAAGTCATCGAAGACAAGGCATTGCAACTAAACTTATTGATATATTAAGGTAATATTCTATTAGTATTAAAAGATTGTACAATGTTTATAATAAACAATAAATATATTATAATTTTTATTTTAGGACAAATTATTATTATGGTTATATCATGTCAGTAGAGGATATTGCTTTTTCCACTCCCACACTAAGTGGTAAACTCTTTGCTGAAAAATACACAAAAACTCGTAATTTTAAGGTCTATTAAGGTTAATAAATTAAATGTGCAACAGGAAATTTTACAGAAAAATATAAATAAATTCAATAATCCATATTTACAAAGAATTTTAATACTTTTACCAAATAATATTAATACATTTTTTTATTAATACATACGATTTTTTGTTAGCATATGATTGATATTTCTATATTTAATTGCATTAAAATAATATTACTAATTAAATTCATCCTTTTTATTTTAAGTAATATAACTTCTATGAAGTTCATTGATATAAGAAAAACTTTCTAAATAATATATAATTTCCTAATGTAAGAAAACATCAGAAAAATCTATATTTAATTATTCTTGTATTTATATTAACTTATTTTTAATGAATTAACAGTAATTTAAAAATTTATAATCTACTTTATTAAGTATATATGTAAATAAGAAACAATCGATCTAAAACAACAAAGGCAAACCGTTTTTTGGATTTTGCTAAATAATAGTACAGTGCACTTATTTCTTATTTACAAAATATAATAATTTTAATATTTCAATTTTTTTTCTTAAAAAATTACTCAATTTTTTGCTTTCGTTGATTCAATAAGTTTTTTTGTTATCAATTGTAGAATATTTATAAAATTTTAATTGAGTAAAAGACAAAATACAGTCAGCGAAGAATAGACAAATAATATTCAAACAGAATTTAAAAGATACAACTTACATGAAAATGTATATATTTTTAATTACTCGAAATTTTTTGAAATGATTTATAATATATTAATTATTTTATTATTATTGAAAACATCTATTTATGTATAAGTCAATTGTTTTTTAATGTACATCAACAGTTCAATTGAATTATACTAAACTTGTCCATTTTTTTATCAAAATGAACAAACGTACACATAATCCATCGATACAAAGATATCACTGAATAGTATCCAGAAAACTGCAAGTTATATTAAAAATTAAAATTTTTATTTGCCTAATTGCCTCGGAGATTTCCGATCGATTATAGTAGCATAATTGTATTTAAACTCAATGCCACACATTTGTATTTTAACAGTTTATCAATTAAAATTTTTCTCATAAATTAATTTACTTTAACATTATTTCTATAATTACAATATATAATCATTTTTTTACTTAAGTAGAATATTTTATTTAGTGACTCCAAAATTTGAACATATTTTTATTTATTGGAAAAAAGTTATATTTCTTTACTTTGAAATTGTTTCTATCTGTAATTTGTAATATTAACGAACATCTATCGATAGGTTATCGATATTGACGAAAATTTATAATGTTATAATACACGTGAGATAAAACATTTTTCCTTTAATGGAAAATAAAAAAAGAAATTTAGTTCATAGAATAAAAACATTTAATAATTTTAGAAAAAAAGTTTGATATTTATATTTAAAAATTTTAATGATATTATTAATAATAATATAATAATAAATAATTGTTCAAACACTATTAATATCGTATTTTAGAAAATGTACATTAAAAAAAATTAAAATGTAGATTAAGTATTTTAATATCAGTTAAAAAATTTTTTAAAACGTTTATAAATTATAAATATTAATATGATTAATTATTTACATAACTTAGATTTTAATCACTAAGATTAAAATGTTCATAATAATTATCATCGCAATCTATTTTATTTATCTCAAAAATATTGTAAATTGGCTTATGAAATATCATGGTTGGACCAAGGATTTGCATTCGTACATTGCAAAATTTTTTATAATATTTTGCTTTTAATTGTATTCGTTCTTCATTGGTCATTTCCTATAAATTAATAAAATGGCTTGAATAATTCTATTTAAATGATTTATAATTATTGACTATATTACTTGAGTATTATAATAATAATACCTTTAATGCGTCTACAGTGCACCCTATTGCTTGTTCTGCAGCTGAATCTCTTAACTGACATCCAACTAAATATCCTGTATCATCTTTTAGATTTACTAATATGTTTAAACTAATTATGTTCATTGGTCGTTTTATTCCACAGCCAAATGGACATTCCAAATTCATACATGAATCATTTCCATTCAAAATTATTCTTTTACATTTTGCACTAATAATTAGAAATTAATTCCATGTTGACAATTTAAAATTATGTAAATGAACATGTGATAATTAATTGACTAACATTAATTTCTATTGAAAATTTTATTTTAGTAAAGTGCATTTAATATGGAAAATCTATAAATTCGTTTTAAAAAATAGAAAATTAATCTTAATTATTTTTTAAAAATATTTATAATTATCCGAATTCAATAATTTCTATAATCATAAGATTAATTAATAATAAAATAATTAAATTAAAAAAACCTAAATTAATAACACTAATAATAGTTGAAAATATTTAATTTTCAAATGTAACTTATGGTTTATAAAAAATAATGTAAGAATAGTATAGAAGTACAGCATATAGCATTCGTCGTAATGTACAATAACATTATACATTTACAACATTTCATATCATGGATTAAAAAATATATGTAAATCGTATAGTAATTGCGACAAAAAATCATAAAATCCTATTGCATACAAAATTCTATGAAAACATTGCAAATAATATATCCATAGATGTAAAAATTTCTGCATATCCAATACTAAAATTTGAATCAATATAGAATATCTCCAATGAAAGTATATATTAATACATTGATTGCTGTTACATGTTACATTTTGATAAAACTCTGGATTTGTACAACTTAAAATTCTAAAGGAAATTGATAAAAGCTTTATTCATTTGTATAAAAAATTGATTTTTTAAAAGTTTTATAACCAAATTGTTTCAATTTTTCTATAAAGGAATTTGTATAGCTTCTAAAACAATTATCTAATTAATTATTAAATCATTAGACAATTTTATTTAAATTAAAAAAATATTATTAACAGTTTTGTATATGAAATATTATTTTAAATTTAAATAAATAATAATGCAATATCATAAAGAATAAATATTAAATTTAATATACCATCTAGCACTTATTAAAGGTACATCACTAGATTCTAGATTCATATCATCAATCACTGCATTAACAACCACCAAAAGCTGTAATCTATTGTTAGAGTTTGTTGCAGTTATAAAATTTAGTTTATTCGTTATTTCGTGTATAGTCATCTTCTTCGTGATAGAATTAGCTACAATACGTAAAAAGTACTTTTATTTCAGTATTAACTATTTAATTTAGTAACTAAAATATTATTAAATAGTAAAATTAAAATCTGTTTTATCTAATACTATTTTCATCAATATTTTAAAATATAATTTATACATTATTATAAATAAATACCAATTACACATCATCATAGAATATTAGACATTATATATATTAATAAAATTATACACATTCATTATCAAAATTTTAAATAATAATTTAAAATTTGTTTGAGTTATAAATCTATAAATGCATACGTATATTGTGTCAAATGATACGTTTATACAAATGTATTTTATTAGTAAATACTAATTTAATAATCAAGTTAATATAATTATAGATCGAAAAGTTTAAATATTGCGATTCCAAGGAAACTAATTTTTCAAACAAAAATCCAATTATTAATAATCAGATTAAGTTAAAATAATATAATGCTTTTCAATGATAAAATTACGTCTTTAAATAAAAAATTAACAACAAAATTTAGGATTAAATGCAAATTTATATATGTATAGGTATATATGTATATATATATAAATGCGCGTATAAATTAAATGCAAATAAATTTAGTTTTGTGAGTAAATACATTTAATAATGTTTATATTGTATCTTATTCTAATGAATAGAATAAAAATATATTTAAAAAAATTATTTACGATTTGGAATTGCAAATGGTGACATTGATCCTAAATCCGCTTTATTTTGAAATGAATGCCTGATGTCTTTAGTTTCTGGAATATCTGGATTTTCTGTAAGAATTGTTTTTCTGGCTGCAAATTAAAAGCGTCAATAGTAATATAAAACTTTATTTACTTATGTATACATTTGATTTAGATTTTTTAATCATAAAATAATATACTTTTACATACCAATTGTTAAGACCGATTTTTTCATTCTTTCATTATAAATAATTTGGACATCTGCTAAAAATAAAATTGTATGTTTTGATTCCCATTTATCTGCTAATTTAATCCATTCGCTATCCCAAAGTGTTAATGATACTGTATGCTCGGTGGATTCATCACCAATTTCGAATTCACGAATTTTCGTAAGCTCTCCTAACCGAGTAACTATTTCACGAGTCTGACTTATCTACAATTTAGTGTACAAATATTATTTAGACTAAATTTTAGAATAAATATATATTATATAAATATAAGTGTAGCGCAGACGCACAACTTAATATGTAAAATATTTAAATCAATGGTTATTCAATAACTTTTATTTAAAATTTAATGGTTTTTAAGATAAGCATTGTAATGTAATAAATAAAAGCTTTATTATATATTAAAAATATAATGTTTTAAGGAATAACGTAAATAAATTCATACATACAAATGTTACCGCAACAACGAGATCGACATATTGATTTTTTAGTGACTCAGTATTCTCTAAAATATATGCTAAATTACAAGTTCCAGCAGGATTTTTGGTTGGCATTTGAAGTAAAATTTGATAACGCGTGATAGCTGGACTATGATGCATTTGTATTAACGACGATCTTTGATTTAAATTTAGAGTAAAAGGACTAGTTACAGAAGGGACATAAATTTCATTTGGGTCATTTTCTTTACGTTCTGATATTCTAGCATTAATTACTTCAACTAAAAATTAATATAAATAAATATTGATAATACTTAAAATATTATATGTCTTATTTTATTATTTTAATTGAAATTTTAATGAATAAAATTATAACATAAAAACATTACTTTAAAAACCTACCAACACTTCCAATATTGAAAGTAGTAAACAATTTATTGATATAATCAACAGCTCCCCAAACTGTCACGTTTATAAAATCGTTTATAGAATCTCTAAGAGTGAAATTCCAAACTGCTCGTGATCCTACATTATCTAAAATATTTTAAAATATATATCATATATTTTTTAACAGTTCTTGATGATGATAAATAAAAATATTCTTGTTCGTGACATGCTTTATTTTTTTACTTAAATAAATAATACCAAAGATTAACAATGATACATATAGTAAATTAATTAAATAATTATTGAAAAATATACATTTATAAAATAAACTAATAAATATTAGACTGTGAGTTTTATAAATGATAACAAATTAAAATTACAGATAATTACTAAATAAATTGTTTTCTTAATACAAAATCAAATATAATTATTTTAGATAATTTATTAGAAATTAAATTTAATGTTTTAAATTACAATCATGTAAAAATAAAATATATTTAATAAATATATTTTCATATAAATATTTAATAAATAATAATAAGTAAAAAATACAAAAATAATCGTGAAAGACTTACATCTTATTCTGGTTGGATCAATTATTTTAGAATTTTGACTTCGGATAATAATACCAATAATTATAGTATTTTGCATTTGTGGTTGAAGCGAACATATTGGCTGGCGAGAAATACTGGTCATTTTTACATCTATCGTTAAAATTTTGTGAAATTGATAATATTATTAAGGTATTTATTAAGAATAGAATAGAATTTCTACAGAATTTTTCAATTCTCTACTTTAAGGAATTGATATAAATTATAAATTAACCGTTATTTTTTTAATTATTCAAGCGATGGCAGCGCCAAAAATATTTTGTTAACTTTAGTAATTAAAATCGATTAACAATAATAATTTGTAACTATACAGGTTTAAAAATGATTTTTTCATTATAAATAATTTTTATATACAAATTATTTCAATCCTTTGTACCATTTCAGTTTCCTATTTTAATATAACTCGCAATAATCTATACATAGTTAAAAACTATCCTTTTAAAAAATATTTTGATTATAATACAAGTTCATTTCATATTTAATAAATTATTCTTTTTTTAAGTGAAATAAATAAATTTATTTATAAAATTTAATTTTACTAAATGTTTTATATTAAAAATAAATCTACATTTTTAAAAACATTGATAATCAGTGAAGTATAAGTAGTTTTGAAATAATGCTTTTAATATTAAAAATGTATTAATGTAAAAAATTTGAATTCATAGTATACGAATTTTTCTCTAAATTATTCTATTATTAAAAATCTAAAATTTTTAATGTAAAATAATAGGTATTTATATACCAAATTACAACATATTTCTAGTTTTCTGTACACACAATTTATTTGTGATTTATAAATTTAATAAATTTAACAATCAATTCAATTGACTTTAACACCATCTAAAGAAGCTTCAATATTTAATGATTTGTTGCTGAGTACTCTACAGTAGACAATGTACAACTATTGTATTGTTTCTACTAAATCACAGAAATTTTATTATGAATTTAGATAGAAAGTTTTTGTAATAATCTTGTTATATGATAAAATACTTTACTAAACTAAGAAGATAGAATTATTGTTACAACAGAGGAATGTTCTAGGAATGATATAAATTATATTTAAATATCTTTGATAAAACAATTTATTTGTAATATAACTTAGTTAATAAAAAATTGAAATTACAGAAAATCTTTGAAAAAAATTTCTATAATTACTGGTGCATGGTATTGGTATTTAATTTTTTCATTAATTATCGAGCCTCTTTAAATTTATTCAAATATAGAAATACATATAATTTTTTAAATTTAAACCTAAGAATAATTCCTATCTCATTATTATTACAAAAGCATCTTTGTACAGTATTTTCAATAATGTTGGATAATCAGTACGAAAATAAGCGAACTTGTTGCTTTAGTTATATATTTAAACTGGCGTCTCAGGATTTTCCCAATCTTGAGCATTCTGTCGTGATAAAGGATGATTTCCGCTTGGTGAATTTGATTCCAATACTAAATTTTTTTGTAACGGATAATAATTTAATTCATCCAAATTTGCATGTTCAGCATTTTCAAATGAGTTCTTGGCTAGCGAATCAAAGGACAGCGATTCACTGTTTTCGATGTTAAGCTTTGTGCACTTGAAAATGTTATCAACGGTAGAATTCATTGATCTTGACAATTCAGATACTAAGGGTGTTGACTCATCATTGGTAACTCGATCAATTTTTACCGATTCAATTGAAGCTTCTTTATAATGTGATTTGCTTGTATTCAACAATTTTTCTTTCAACCGGGTTAATTTACTGAATCCGCTACTGTTGAAACAAGTACTTGGAGTGCTAATATTGGGCACAGAAATAGAAATTACAAACTCCTGCCCAGAGGAATTCGAACGTTGCGTAGAATTTGAATGTTTCGAGGAATTGACAAGCATTAAATCACTGACAGCATATTCGGTAGAAAATTTGGATTTCGAAGAACATCGTGGTGAAGATGGTGGTGAGATCACTAACGACGATGGTCTTCGTGTCAATAGCTGCTTTTCAGAATTCCTTTGATACATTGTATTTGTCAACGGAGTTTTATAGTGATTGGAAGAGAAGCTTGAAATGACACTACAGCGCGAATTTATACTTCGTTGGGAGTTACTACGATGAATAGGCAGTAAATTTCCAGAGTTAAGGGAGCTGTCAGAACTCGATCCACCATTTTCAGGTTCGTTGGACATTGGCATCCATTGCAATAGTGGACTCGATTGTAAGATCACGTAGTCCGTGTCCTGAGACAGGCTTGATGTTCTTGATCTTGCTGGATCATCTGCAAATTAATGTTCTCCACTAATGTATTAGAAGTTTTAAATTTATTTCCATGAAGATTCACCATGTATATCCATAATTCAATTTAAACAATTTTGTCGACATTATGATTTCAACTATTTACAGTCTTCAATTAAAGCAATGAATTAAATCTGTAGAAATTTTTACGAAATATAATATATTATGAATAACATTTAACCGCTATATTTATAATCTTTTGCATGTATTGACAATTTTTAGATAAAGATAAACATTTATAATTGTTACGTTTTAAAAATTTAAATATATTTAAATTTCATATAATTAGTTTTTCATACTTTTATAATGTATAATAATTTAAATACTAACTTAAAGTAAAAAATTTTATGTAAATAATTTGATATTCAGTAATTAATAAATGTTATAAAATTCTGTTTTATTCAGAATGAAATTATAATATAAAAGTACTTGTGACTTGTCTTGAAAAATATTTAAAAATAAAGTTGAAAGTATTAAATTAATATCTATATTATATTGATTAATAGCCCAGTCATTGCATCTAAATGTGCCCTGACTTCCGTTGCCTTTTAAATTACTTATTAAAGTCAATTTCATTATTGTAGAAACATGTAAGTAACCTTTTATTAGAATTTTGAACAAAACCTTTGTAAAATTTATAATACAATAATAAATTTGTGCATGTGTTATTTTTTCAAAGTAATACTTTATTACCATTTATATTATTATTTATAATATACTTTGTTTCTTGTGAATTTCATTTGCTTGTTTAATTATATTAGCAAACATATTATGTAGTTTCAACATTAAAGTATATATCTGCAGTACCTAGTTTTAATATATGGAGATCATTAAAATGGAATAATTCACTTACTTTCAAAAATGTATACTGACTATTTAATATTTCATAATCACATATTTAAGCTTTTAAAATAAATTTCATATACTTTAACAAAACTTAAACTATATTTTTAAATATTATTTAGAGTCTAATAACTACTATAGAATGCATATGGAGCCATAAATTATGCATTATTAGAAACACAATATATCATGTACAACATGTATGTACTTATAGATACACACAGAGAAGTTTACATCTTTTTTTTGCCTTTAATTATAATAAGTATTTAAAAAATTATATACACAGAATATATAGACACTTTTATGCAGAAAGTAAATAATATATTATTAGTAATTTCTTTTCTTATAAATCTTAATAAATCCGATCGGTTTATTTTAACTAAGATATTATTTTATATAATTTTATAAGATAAAATTTAATTTAATTTATAATAGTAATATGGTTTAATTAATTCACATATATGTAAATTTATAATCTATATTATAATATTAAAGTATAACATATTTTAATATAGTATTTTTAATTTATATGATAGTGACAAAAAGAAACCATTGTATTATTAATGCTTTAAATAGCATAAATTTGGGAATCCAGATAATTCATAATCTTTGATTAGAATTATATAAATCATTATTTTTTAACATTTTAATATAATCAATTACTTATACAATATATACCTACGCCATTAATAATTTTTTGATGATCCATAAATTACATTATTTTGATTATATAGTTACAAAATATTCCAGTACAATTATTTTAATTAGTTTCTCTAGTTTATTTCAATTAGTACTGAGATTAATAGATAAAAATGTATATATATATATATATATATATATATATGTATTTACTTTTTTGAAGATTCTTATTATGAACATATAGATAATAAATAATTATTTTTGTTAAAAAAACGCACAAAATGATACAAAAATAATTTATATGTATAATGCATTTATGTTATAAACTAAAGCAATATTTTTTTAAAGTGTTTCTATAGAATTTTCTGGTTATCATATTTAATATACAATAAAATAAAATGAAAATATAAACTACATTTTTTCTAATACATATAAAAAATGATAATATGCAATTTTGACGGAATATAATTCTGTCGTTTCTGGCTACAAAATATATCATTTTAAATATTTTAATGACTATCTATGGCAGACATATTATTTTTACAGAATAAAGTTTTAACCATTGCTTTTTTTTCATTTTCATAAATCTACGTTTTTGTCGCGTATTCGGTAACGGAGTCAGGGCTTGGGTCAGTCATCGATGGCTCTTGGACTATGACCACAGGCAGTGTAAGCGGAAGAGAACTGGGCTCACCTGGCAGCAAATCTGCAGGCATAACTGGTGATACTGGTACGTCAAACACATCCTCACAAGCCTCTTCATTCAGAGTTTGTAATGCACCACATATCATCTGCTCTTCTAATGTAACCTGTAAAATGTCCATAGGTCCTGATAAAAATTTTTTTTGACATAAATAAATTTAGAATTATGTAAATCAAGATTATGTACATAAACATTAATAATAAAATGTACACATTAATTCTTACCTGAAACTGTGTCTGTGAATTATTTATAAAATATCCATAGAAGCATAAGATAAATAGGAATTATGATCAGTAATTTTTATAAAGTAAATAATAAAATAATGTAACATTTATATAATTAGTTAGTTTTAAAAATATTATAATATTAAAACTTTAGTAATTAATTAAATTTTAAGTGATTGCTATTATTTGTATTTTATTTATTTTTGAAATAGTAATATTATTAATTATTAATTTTTATGTTTTAGGAATTTAAATAAAATTTGATGTAATTTTTAAGTCGATCTATTATTATTTTTAATTTTCGACCTACCTGTTTTTCCATAATAGATTGTTTGTTTTGATCCCTTCTTGAAGAACCATCTGTTCTAGATAAATTCTTTTCTTTTTCTATAATTGTAGGAACTCTTGTAATATTATTTTGGCTCATGTATTCTATTTAAAGCAATTTGTTTTAAATTAGTATTTTCTTACCAAAATGTAAAACAACTCATTAAAATCTATAACAATACTACCTTTACAGATACGTTCATCCGAATCAACAACAAATCTAACGCTCCGAGGACTTTCTTCTTGAGTTATTAATATAGTTAGTTCTTGCTCTCTCAAAGAAATAACTACCATACGAAATAGTTCCCAATCGCCAAATGACATTTTAAGTACCTTTTATTAAAAATAATTTATGTTGAATTTTAATTTTTGTTTTAATATTTGTCGTAAATAAGACGTTCTATAGTTACATTTTTTAATTCCAATAAGTTACAATGAAGCAATACTCTGCCACTAATATTATTTTCTTTGATAATTTCTTTATAACGTGGTATTTGATTTGAATTTAAATCTTGAATTTTATCAAGTAAATCGCATAAGCCTTGAACTGTAAGTATTGAAAGCTTAATATCCAATACATCCGACTGTAAAAATAATGCCCAAATTAGTTTTCTTAAGCATTTTATCTTTCGTTAATATATAATATATAGAGCAAAGAAATGAAAAAAATTCAGTAATAAAGTTCAATTTTCTCAAAATTACTTTATGTACGAATGATAGGAAACTATACTATAAAACTTCTATGAAGAAACTTAATTTGCATTAAACATTTATAAAATAATATTTTCTATAAAAGTATAGATATTTTTTTGTTAATTGTAGATTATTCGTTTTATAATTAATTAATTTCTTGAAAAATATTTATTAAATTTTAAAATGTACTTATATTAATATCACTTACACACTATTAAATAAATTACATTCTTATTCTGCCACAAGAATTGAATGAATATATGTTATCAAAAACATTTGCTAAGTGCAATATCTTGATCAAGTCGCTATAATTTTTATATATATTTTGACGTATGTATATAATAAAAAATTAACGCTACAAAAAAATCAAAATTGAGTTTACATTCTACTGTTAGAATAGTGGTATTATTTAGAAACATTTATTTTTTGTTTATTATTTTAATCAAAATTTTAAAATTTAAAAGTCGATTATGATTTGAAAAAAGGTAATAGTTATTGTCGACATTTCATAATGTCTTGTTTTTGGACAAGCGTAGCCATTTGAAGACTTTTTCACTTTTTTATGAACGGAATATTCGTTGAATAATTTTATTTTATAGTTTTTAATAGATTTTAAATAAATTCTAAGTACACCTGACTATTAATGACCTAAATCATAAGGTAAAATAAAATGAAATTGTTTTATTAAAAGTTTCAAATATAGATTTAATTTTATGTATGTAAATAGTGGCATATATACTTGCTCAAGATTCTTGTTTGGAACCTCGGTTAATAAAGTTTTTTTTTCAAGAAATTAAATTTTCATACTTCATAATTCGTAAATTCGTTTGATACATCTTTGCTCGAGAAATGTTTTATACTTAAAATATATCATCAGTATAATTTCAATAAATATATAATAATATTGCTTGATTCTCACTGGTAAAGTGGTAACTGCACAAAAGGGCTTATGCACAGATTCCATTGGAGATGGCAGATGCGGCCACTGAACCATTTGCCACTCATAGCCTTGCTTCGTGTTTGACCAAACGGCTGTAGGCGTTTGCGTAGATAAAAACTGCGGTAGTAATGTAAATTCTGATGACATGCGACCAATATTCGATTTTGATATTCGAGATTGTTGAGTAAAGGTTGTTGAATGACTATTTATAGGACAGTTAGAATCTATGATTCCATGAGCACCACTAATTGATAAAGAATTGTTCCACTTGGACATTCCACGGTGATTTGATTCCTCGTCTAAACTTTGTTGCTCTTCTTTGATTTTTTTTTTAACATATGGATCAAGGTTTATTGTAAATGGTAGAAAAATCTTCATATCACTAACAAGAAGGCTAGAGCGATGAAACGTCAGAAATACGTCGAGTTTGCGTTCGTCTCTGTCCATTTCAAGTAATGGTTGGGCATCTTTGAAGATTGGAATTTGGGGACGAACCCTAAATTACATTTTTTACAATTGCTTACTTAAACATATCATATTTGAAATGTATTAACTATATAATCTAATTATATTTATTATGATAAAAATACTGTCAATTTTAAATAAATTTCTTCGATATATTATTTAAAACTGATTTTATATTATATAAGATTAAACTGATATATTTAAAATTTTGGATACTTGAGCATAAGTAATTGTAAACCCTAAATTTGAAATTTAAAATATAAGATTAAAATGAATAAAATATAAAATTGCTTAATTAAAGTAATTGTAAAAATGATAATTTTGTTTTAATATTTAAAGATATAAAAATATAATTTTACTAATTATATTATATTTGTACCACTATACTATTTAATTAATATTATAAATAAATTTTTCAAAATAAATATATTAATAACTATAACATTTTTATTTGTTTTAATATTATTAAAAATTTTACTTGTCATAAAGTGTTTTTAATGACATAGAATCTTCAAGATTGTCTTCGCTTGTATCATAATAGAAAATCATCCATGAAGTTCGAAATGGCCACTGTTCAGTAATATTGATCCAACTTGCTAAATGATACCAATTAAAATCAATTTGGAATGCTTTCAATAATCTTCCTATTGGTATAAAAGTAATTTAGTAATATTAATAACAATATTATAAATAAATCCATTAGAAACAATTTTATAAATAATAAATCGTATATTTTATTTTTAAATTACTTTTTAAAATATCTATAACTTATAACAATCAATTTAATTAAATATATAAATTTTATACTTTAAATGAAAAAGGTAAATAAATTATATAATTCGAAAGAAAGTAACCTGTAACGTAAACAACATTCATTAATCGTCTCATACTTCGTGGATTAACGTCACTAAAATAATCGTCCGTCAGAAGCATCTTATTTAAGTCCTGAGCTCCACTTAGGCGATTCAAATTGCTCCCTATACTACTAGCAATTGAGTCGCTTAATCTCAACTTTCTGCTACCCTTGCGACTTGGTGGCTTTAGTTTCTCAGTGCTATTTATTACGCTAGATTCGGTACTTAAACGTCGATTCGATATCGATCGATGCAATGGATTCGTTGTTGTGTAATTTACACTCTCTTCAGCTTCGTTCCATGTCGTTTTTTTATTACTATATAAAGCTGTCTGTTGCGCTATTTTGACTTTTCGAAGACCACTATTTTGCAAATAAAATGGTAAATGCACCATATTGCGAAGATAATCATGACCTCCAATATTTGATTCCGTGAAAAGCCTACGGCTGTTCACTTCTACAGCCTTTAAAATTTAAATTATTATTCGTTGGATTTTATTTGTTATGAACAGTAAAAAAATATTATATACAAGTTGTATATTATTGTTAATAAATGCTTTAATAAGCAATAATAAAAATATAATAAACAGAAATTATATATTTACATACAATTTTATAGCTACTAGTTACTTTTTCAATTATTCTAATAAAAAATTTACCTTAGATATAATGTGAGGATCAATAGCTAAAATAACAATGAATGGACATCCATTATCACTAAATAAAGACTGAATGGCATCGAGTACCAATAAAACTTTGTCTTGTTCACAGCTATCAAGACCGTCAACAATCACTACTAATCTACTTTTTTGGGCTGTAAAACCATCTAAACATTTAACCTATTTTTTAATATAAAATAAATTATAATATTATATTATTAATAAAATATTATTTTGCTGTATAAATATTTTTTACCATTTCAGTCATAAGATTCACTTCACTTCTTAGTGTTTGTAAAAAACCTTCACTTTTCAATGTTTCAAGTTTAGCAATCCGTCGTCTAAGTTGTCTACGCTGAGAGAAAATGAGAGATTGAAGCGTTCTGCTCCAAGTATATAAATTTGCAATTATACTAACGGCCAATAATAAAGCAATACTAATCATAATAATATGTGCCGTTATGCGCTCAATTACTGGCCTTAAAAATATTAATTATATAAATTGTTTGTTTTTGCTAATATTTAAAATTAAATTTGCATTATTTAATAATTTTTACTATATAAAATATATCAAAAGAATGTGAATACAATGAACTATAAATATATTAAAAAAAATAATATATTATACTTTAAAAAGATTAAATATTCTCCAAAATTATTATATATTATCTTGAATAAAAAATATACAAAATATTTTCTTTTATTAATACTTCCAAATTTTTTTTATACATCATCCGGACCTACATAAAATCATATTTTCTAAAACTTATTTGGCATTATTAACGTACTCAATAAAAATAATATGAATAAAGGATTTTGTTTCATAAACTATCAAAAATTATTAAAATACGATTTTTTAATAATTCTGTAAAAGTATTAAAATGGTATAGTAATAATTTTTTTTATGATAATATTTTTGTTAATTGTATTCCAACACATTTTTTCGTACCCAAGTATTTTATCTAATAGTATAAAAAATTAAAGTAATAAAATTTTGTTTTTAGTGAAATTTTATTTTACATTAAATACTAGTATGATACCACAAATAATGATTAATTCGTATTTACAAATAACAGTAACTGGTACTTACTTATTAGAAGATGAATCTATAATATACACAGTGAGTATCGTGATCCCAACGACGAAACTACAGAAACAGAATTCAAATATTGCAACGTAAGGAAGACAACAAAGATATCTCCATTTCCAAGTTGTAGTAGTTTTAACAGGCTTTGGTCGAAAAGCTCTGTACAGTCGTGTTGGTAATGAACCAAATTCATCTTCAATAGAATCGTACAGTGAACCAACCATCTGTACAACGGCATTTTCGCCAGCTGTTGTCGTTCCCACACGCGTTTGATCCGTGAAAAAGAATTTAATTGGTTGTATAGTAATACCATCGTGTGTTTGATTGCCTGGTGGATGGCAAAAAAGCACTTGTAACAGTAGTTTCAGAGATTTCAGTTTAGTGCTCAATGTTACAGTGAAACTGTAAGGCCAATACCAGTCATATCTGTACACCATAAAACTTGTTAGATTCTACTATTAGTCGAAAATAAAAAATTACTTAACCCAGTTTAATATGTAGTAAGCTTTTATTTAATATATTAAATATTCATATAATTAATACTATGAATGATTTAACTGTAATCACAATATTTTGTTTTGTATCTGTAAACTCAAATAAATAAAATTTTCAAATAATATCAATTAAACAACCGGCTAAAATAAAATATGATTTAATTTGTATTTGAATGAAATGATTATTTAGTTATTACAATCTTATGAAGTTTATATATATTTAAAAATAATTGAAATGTATATTTTTTCAATTTATTTAATCAGCATTTTCTCTAATTTGAAAATATAAATTATGCTACGTAATTATAAAGTAATTTTCAAGTAATCGTCATTGACATACCTTAATGTTATTAAAAAAATTTCGTATTCTTTTTAGTGACAGTTTCTCAATACAGTCGATACGTAATATTACAATTTAATTTCACAATACCTTATAATATCATGTAAAAAATTAAATTTGCAAAAATACTTGTTGAAATAAATAATTTATTTACAAACACTATAACGTTTAAAAGATTTCCTAAAGATAGAAAAAACCTATAGAATACTTTAACAAATTATATATTTTTTAAGACCTTGTATTTATTTTATTTATTTTATAAAATAATGATAATAAAATATTATACACTTTATATTGTATTTTATTTTTTATTTTATTTCAGCATACCTCACAATATTAAGTAAGAGCTTACCGTTTATTAGCATACTGAATCAATAATAGGAAGAGGTATATAAAAATAACTAAACTTCCTCCAGATATTAGCCCAGTTATCCATGATTGACAGATAAGACCAATGATTACTCCAATCAAGAGGGAAGTGTGAGTTATAATAAGAAATAATAATGAAGAAAACTGGAAAGATGGATCGAGCCATTGCCGAGCAAAATTTTTCATCTCTTCTGAAATTATTGGTATTACAAATGTTATTAATATTACAAATTCTTACAAATATCTTTAATAATATTTCAATGCAATATATAAACCTCTGAGCTTATTTAATAAAAAAGATTTTCCCGATCCCCACTTTGCATAAAGACCAACAGTTATCGGAGTTGATAGTGATGGTTCGCTTAATATATCCGCCAAAGCGCTGCTGTAAAGATCATAGCCAAGCATATTTTCATTATCTTCGTTTGTATTTAATCGACCTATAAGTACATGAAACATATTAATTAATTTCATTGTAGCAAAATTTTAATAAAAAACGTGTAATAAAATTGTCATTAATTTACTTCATCTTAAATTTGTTTCTTACAACCTATAAGCAACTAAATAATAGAAATATAAGAATAATTAAATTAATAGCCATAAAATGTTCAAAGGAATATGATTCGTAAATTAATATGAATAACTAATTAGAAAAAATTTCCTATAATTCAATATATGCACAAACATAATTAGCAAAGAAATCATATTTCTATGAAATATCATAACGTAATTTAAATACCTAGCCCTTGAAGGAACATAAAAAGTAAAACAATGCTTAAAATTATTTTACAATGTATGTTAAATATAATTATTAAGAATTTAAATTGTTTTGATTTGAAAACAATATTTTTGTTTCCACAGTATACTTCTTCCCATGGCATTTATATTGTTGAATATTTTAAGAAATGTGATTCTAGATGCATATGTAAATTATGTAAATAAGCAAAACATGTATATGATAACAGGAATGAGTGCATGTTTTTTTGAGTAAATCGAAAGATGAACAATGAAGTGAAGCTTGGACATCGTGACTGGCTATAATATAATATTATAATACACTATAATATTCCGACCACATAGCGTGTTTAAAATTATCCGACGCAAGAGAAGAAATGGAATATTCATAAAATTTATAGTTTTATATAAAATGTTCATATGTTCATATATATTCTAAACCAGCTCTATAAGCCATGCCAAATGTGTTGACTCGCTTCGACTTTGATATCTACCAAATTCGGTTCTTAAAATGCTAGTTTTTACAGAAGGCTTTATATTTTCTCAATTTTCTTAATATCACTATTGAATATATTCATTTTATTTTTTGAGGATCATTTTAGATATAATTGTATCAAAGGACTTTATAGTTAAAGAATAATTAATTATTCAAATCAAAGTTATAAATTTCAATTTAAAATTAATTTTTTTTTAAATCCATTTTAAATTTCTTTAAATCTATTGTAGTAAATAATTGTTTAAGCTTGTTCTGATCATTTTATAAATATAATATATAATTTTCACTTTGAATTATAATTATAGTTTTTAAACAAATATAAAATAATAGTTTACTAAATTATAAGTCCATGACTTTCAATGTAAATATTATATGGGTAAAGAACATTGCATAAGTAAGTGTACATTGTTATACCTTTTCTATATTTCATATATTTCTGTCTTATAGAATTAACGAAAAAGAAAATAATTAAACAATAAATGTATGAAGTGAATTATAATATCTTTTTCTCTTATGAAGATGAAATATCAAAGAGCTTAACTTACGAGCACCAAAAATTTGTCCCAATATTGTTTTTGAATGATTGATATCAATATTGTATGGAGTCTCGCCCTGCTTATTAGGTCTGTAAAGGAGTTGACTATTTTTTGGATTTCTAAGAAGAATCTCAACGATGCCTTTAGATCTAGCACGCATTGCAATATGCAGTACAGTATCACCCTTTTTATCCATTGTCGATACTTTCGCTTTTTTGTCTAACAGTAGTTGTATTATTTCGGCATTACGTGACCTCACAGCTCGTAATAACGGAGTGTCTCCATCTTTCGTGGCGATTTCAAGGTCAGGATTAGCACTCAGCAGTACTTTTAATATTTGCACGTTACCTTTTTCCACTGCTATATAAGTAGCTGTTTTTCGATCCTACACATATAACAATGCACTTAATGTTAAAATTTAGTAACAGTTTAAAATCAGTTTATAAAATATTGAATGTATTTTATATTAAATACAAATGTCTAATTCATAGCGTTTTCTTTTAATTTTGTTTAAAATAACATAAATGCAATATAATTTAGAATAAAAACAGTACAATGCTAATAGACCATTCATACTTTGCCAGGAATGTCAACATCTGCGTATTTTTTCAGTAAAGATTCGACAACACCTCTATGTCCACCTTTTACAGCGTGAATTAAATTTGTATCGCCACATTTGTCTTGAATATTAATATAAGCCCCAGCATTAAGCAAGGCATTTGCAATTTCATGATAACCATCTCTACACGCAATCGAAAGCGCAGTACAGCCATCCTTATCCACAGCATTCACGTTTGGTTTGTAATCAAGGAGTAGCAAAACAACTTCAACGTGATTCCCAAGGGTCGCTACTAAAAGCGGTGTCCACGAATACTAAAATTAAAAACATTTTTTATTGTCCGTTAATTAAAATTAATATTTAAAAAAACTAAAATAATTAAATCGCCTTACTACATAGATACGTATAAACATACAATGTGATTATTTGCGAATAATCAATTAAATCATTTAATTTATTTAAAATTTATTATATTAGGTTACCATTCCAGCTGTATCAACCGTTGAACCAGCTTTAAGGAGGGCATCTACAATTTCTATGTTACCTTTCCTAGAAGCCCAAATAATTGCAGTTGTACCATACTAAATAAAAAATTTATGAGTTAAACTTAATTTAAATTTTCCTTCTAAAACTAAAGCTAAAAAATTCATTTAAATTATTTGTTGATATTATAACAATATTGGATAATATGAATTAATAAAATTATAAATTTATTAAATAATAAATTAGAAAATACGGGTATTTAAATTTTCTTTTAACGTTATACTTGTTATCATAGATTCACTAAAAAAATATTATAAATATTATAACTTGTTACAAAAAAGCATTAAAATGAAAAATAAAATAAAATGTATAAGTAATGATATTTTTAAAAGGGAAGATATTTACAAAACACAAAAAAAATAGTAATAGTGACAATTTTTAAATTAATGCTCACCTTATCACCAACATTGACTTTAGCACCATAAGTAAGCAAATCTTTAACGATTTCAGTGTATCCACGACCAGCTGCCCACAGTAAAGAAGATATGTGATAGTTTCCGTGTGCATTAACATCTGCACAACGTGACAATAATAATGTTACCGTTGAAGTTCTGTATTTATATGTTGCCCACATAAGAGCTGTCCATCCTCCCTATGAATAATTTTTTTAGCAAATGTTATTAGTATATATAATGTTTGTTTTAATGATTTGAAGAATTTTAAACTATTTTTAAAATGAATTAATAATTATTTCACATTATGAAATATATCAACAATTAATATTATGTTTTAACATGATTTTTTAATACGAAAAAGCTTTTAATAGTATTAATTATTGCTATAAATGATTTATTTTAAAAGAGTGTATTTAATTTTATTTATTGAATGCTTTGTTTAAATGTTACTTTTAATTTGTATATCATTTTATTATTGTTAATATAATTTATACATAATTAACCATTGAAAAAAAATTGAATGCATAATGAAAATGCTTTCTTCTTACAATAAGTGAAGGCTTTACATTATATTTTAAACTCTTTATAATTGCAAAATAAGGTAATCAATAGTTTGTGTTATCCTTAATAACGTATAATTCTTATGTATAATTAACTTGATATTACTAGGCCAGTGCAGTGATGAATGCTGTTAAAATTCCTCAAGTTTCATTGAGCTTAGTCATTAATATGAACATCTAAAATATCAGCAAATTATTACTTTATCGAACTTTTTAAGCAAAATGTAAAGCAAAGTAACAAAACTCTTATATTTCAAGTTCTCCTTTAATTTTAAGTACCAGAACTGATACCGAATTGATTAATTAAACTGTTTATTGGAATCAATGTATGAATAGGTATTTTAAAAATACATAAAATATAAATGGATTATGAAATATTATTAATTATTTCAATCTTAAATTACTCAGTAATATAAAAAGTTTTATTTTAAATAATAAATAAAATTAAGAATTAAGTCTTATTTTATTCAATAAACTTTAAAAACCGCATATTAATGACTTGATAATTGTATAATTATTCTTATATCTATACAACAAATATAAAATAATGAATGATCGATAGCATTTATAATATTAAAAAATACCATGTCATGATGTTCAAGAATGGCTCCATGTTCAAGGAGTTCAATACAAACATCATTGTATCCTTCTTTAGCCGCAAAAAGTAATGCCGTCCAGTTATCCTATATATAAAAATAAATGTTACATGTTAAATAAAAACAATTAATATAATTTAATAAGGAAAAATGTTGTAGTAGCACTTACCACATCTTCAGCATTAACATCTGCCCCGTGATTGATAAGTTCTCGAACAAAATGAATTTTTCCTCTACTTGCTGAAAGAATAAGGGCTGTGCTGCCATTCTTTAACACCATTAAATAATAAATATTAATAAGTATCTAAATGAAAACAGAATTTTTTAAATAGTTAATTACAATAAAACCTTAACATTGTCAATAAAAAATATCCCAAAATTCTAAGTAAGTTTAAATTGAATTATACTATTAAATATAAATGTTCGTCCAATCATTTCCATAAGAATTACTTATAGGTTAATTAATACAATATTAATATAAAATTAATACAATTTAAATAAATATAATACATCGATAGATATAATCAATATTTAGAAATTTTACACACTTACAAAACTAATTCATAACTTCTATCAAGAACATATTTTCTACAGAACATACTTTATATTATTTTTATGAAAGTTAATTAAATAAAATTTAATATAAATATGAAAGAATCGTTTGTGTATAGGCCCTTAGGTATGTTTGAACTTAATAAATATTTAAATATTATTTTAAATACGGCTATTAAAAAGAGTATATTTTTAAAATTTAATGCACGGAAACATTGAATATTGAAAAATTTTTTTTTGAAAGGCTCCAAATGTGAAATTATATTACAGATCAACCATAATAATATACAATATATATTATATATTGCATATATTTCGAATTTGTAACCTAAAAAAACCATATCTATAGAGACATTACAAATGTAAGTTATAATTCATTATGTTATAATAAACAAAACATATTTTTATTTTTATACCAAGTTTATTTTAAGAATAATAAATAATGAATTGAGTGAGATTAAAATTTCATTTAACCAAATGAAGATTGAAGTACAAAAAATATTTTGCGAGCGTCTCTTTGCAATAAATGATGAATACTTGGTTTTGAAGAGTTTAAAAAGTTTTAAAGAATTTTGAAGTAGTTAATAGAGTTAGAAGTAATTAGTAGTAAGTAGTTAGAATTTTAATGACTTTTGAAGAATTTTAAAGAGTTTGTTTTACACAATTAACAATTTTTGTGGTATAAAAATAAAATCATTTTGGAGGGATAAAAATAAAATGGATGCGAGTGATTTTCCATTAATATATAATTATTTATAAAAAAACATATTTTCCCATTTAAATACAAGTACAATGTAAGCTTATTAATTTATTTTATACTTTTTTTGGACAAGAAAGTTACTACTACTCAGTTATAAAGATTCCAAAAATTATTTTTTATTATTCTTTATTCTTTCTTTATTATTAAAATTTTATTATTCTGTATTCTTTATTATTAATCAACATTTTTTTTAAAACTACAGAGTCAAAATAATTATTTACTTAATTACAATAACAATATTTGAAATTATTGCCATTATAAGTGTTAATATTTTTTATTCATTAATAATATACAATATTTTAATCAAATAATTTATATTAATTCTATAATTAGTACTTAGAAATATTTTTGTATAAAGTCTATATACAAAAATTAATAATTAATAAAAATAAAGTGACTATATAATAGCATTATATTAATTTGAATATTATCAATATTATTTTGTTTCTAAAAAGAAATATTCTCAAATAATAAATAAAATATTAGTTAATAAATAGTAGTAGGATTCATACGGTTTCGATACTATATCATTGAATTATAAAACGGAAGTTTTATATATTTTAATAGTTTTGATATAATATTACAATAGAAGTTTTAGACAATGTTTAATATTAAAATTCCATTGCTTCATTCTGTTTTTTTTTTTACTTTGGAACCATTAAAAATGGCATAAAATAAAGAGTACCTCAATATATTATATTTTTTAATGTCAAACGAATAAAACCGTTCTTAAAAAGAAGTTATAGATTATAAATGATCCTAAATATTAGGAGGTTATAGGACGAGGCTGGTCGTAATAGAATATTGGTATTAATATAGTCTCGTTTTACATCACACACCTTAACCTGAATCTCCCATACATTCCTATAATTAAATTAATAAAAAAACTTTAATACAATGTAAATGCTTCTAATATTATGTTATTGTTAATATCTACGAAAGCTTTCTGTTAAAAACCGTCTATAGTAATTTCGTAGTTCTGCGAGAAATAAGTTGATATAAGATAATGAAGTTTAAGAATGTATTTACCTCATCACGATCATCAACTTGAATTCTTTTATTTTCAAGAAAATTTTGCAATCCAGAAAGGTTGTCATCGCTGACATAACTGGCCAATGTGCGATAACAAAGAGATACCATCGAGTCGGTCCGACGCAGAGTCTATAACAAAAAATAAATTAGTCAGGTGTTTCTTTATATAGGCAGTTATTTATATACACATGAGCATAATGTATTAAAAAGTAAGAAAGAAAGAAAACAAAAAAAAGTGTTGAAAAATTGTTGAAAAAAAGTTGCGAAATTGATGATATTGCATATATTTAAATCAACATACAATTGATAAGTATATGAAGAAAGCTTGGGTTCTTGAATGTTACTAATATTCATAACTTTACGCATCACGGGAAGTTGATCTATCACTTCAATTACAATAAAAAAATAACTTAAATAAACAAATGGTAAATAACATATGTGTTGATAAATATTATCGAGAAATTATGAATAAGGAAAGACATGGTTTTACTTCTTGATTGAATAAATCACATACTTATATTATTTAATCATTATTCTATTTACATAGTAACATCTAAGTAAAGATTAGTTTTAAAAATATTTGATTTTCTATTCAACAAGTTTCTAATAATTTGTTTGTATATCAATACATAAATTATAAAGAATTTCAATCAAATCTAGTATGATATATAAAATAAATTTTTAATAAATAAATTTTTATTGAAATTTTTATTAGATATCATTCAATTTCTTAAAAATTTAATAATGTTATATATGAATCTACTTAAGGTGAATATCCATGTTTCTTATTATGAACTAAGAAGACTAATTTAAGAATAACATACTGAAAAATAAAAGATAATGCAAAATAATAATACTATTAAAAAACTACTTAATACATGAAATGAAGGTCAGAAAAAGTATAACTCTCTTTATTCAGATATAAATATTTTTTCACTTAATACACATACTGTGTATTGGGTATTTTCTTAAAAAGAAAAAGAATCATATGTTAAAGAAGTTAGTATCAGTGTAAGTACAAAAATGGGTACTAATTATATTAAGTATATGCATTGAGTAATAAGAAATGCAACTAGTCTTGAGTAAGAATATACACCTAATAAAATAGTTACTGTTATTTAAACTGTACATTATCAATATAAATTGATTTCATATTTCATATTATTATTTCCAAGTCTGTATTAGTTTCCTTTTAGGCAGACTTTTAATATAAATTTAATTATTTTTAATTTTTTATTTTGATATAAAACGGGTAGAAATAAAATTTTTAGTTTATTTTTCAATATTAGGTAATGAAGTTGATCTTGTAATTGATGAAAAATTTTGCTTAATGCATACATACAAAACTCTGCTTCAGTAGTAAAATTAATAAATTATTATGATTAAAGAACAAAATATATTTAAACATTCAATAGAAACTACTTAATAATAATCTTAAATTACGTATGTATAATTAATCATATGTTTATATATAATTAATATATAATTAATCGCATGATTTAAAATTTATAAAAATAATATTTATACTAAAAATAATTATTTCAATCGTTTTAATAAAATTAATAAATAGGAATAAATAATACTGGAATAAGACAGGAATAAATAATAATTTTAACATAAAAATGAAAATAAAGAAAAGCATTTTCAGTTGAAAAAAATTAAAAGATTGTAATATATAAACTGCAAATGAAAAGAAAATATAAATTGTAATCGAAAATATTAAAAGAAAATACTAATTTGTATTATAAATTTATAATAAAATAAAATCCTTGTATAAATTTCTAACTTAACAAATTCAAAATAAATTAATAGGGAAGTGCACTATTTATTTTATTGAACGTAGAAATATCTCTTAAAAAGTTTCATATATTCGAATGGTTACAATTTATATTTTCTGATGATTTATGATATAATCAGGATATAAATAGTGTAATAGAAGAAAATATTATTTAAAATATTGAAATAAATTTAATATATTTATTTTACATATCACATTATATATTTTATAACATGTGGATATTTATAAATCGATGAACGCAAATTTTCCAGGAACAAAACAAAAGTATAATAAATCTGTTATATTATTATGATTGTTATTTTTAATGTAAATAAAATATTTTTTTTTTAAATAGTTATATAAAATCTTACACAAATTGAAATTGAATCACTATATTTCATAAGCAAACTGAGAAAAAATCATTGTGCATTTTTATAGAGGGAAGAGAATTTAAAGTAAAAAATAAATTTTTATCTTTTAACATAAATTTAGAATTTTTAAAAAATAAAAATTTTTATAAAATAATATTTTCAAACTATTTAAAATCTCTAAAATCTAATCATATTTTCCAATTCTTGAGGCTTCTTTGAATATGGTAAGGTTATACTTTTGTATAAACTATCAATTAGTCAAATTAATAAGTTATCATGGAATATTGTAAAAAGCACTTGGTACTTCCACCAATGTCTATATATGTTCAATGTTACTCTGTATTAGCACTTTTCTTATAATTTCGTTGCAAATATGATTTTTATTCCATATAACTTACATTTAAGTACACTGTAAATTAAATTAGAATTATACTATATTATTTATATAATACTAATAACGAAAAACTTAAATTTTGTGCTATATTTAGAAATCAGCTAATAACAATTTAGGAGCAATTTAAAAATTGGTTGTTTAAAGAATATTTACATCTCTACATTGGAAATTTTCAATAATCTATTTTCTTTGTTACATTAGTATATTCATATAAAAAATATGCGTAAATTGTGTCAGAGAAAAAGTAACTTATTGATGAAATGTGGTTTAATCAAAGAATTTTATTACCATGTAAAAAATATTCATTTTATAGTAATATTTATGCAAAATGAGAATAAAATATAATTTAATAATTTTACATGAGTTGTTTTAAATTCGTTTTATATAAGAATAATACAAGGCTATATATTTTGCAGCCATGATAAAGATATCTTTATGATATTGCCTTTTCGTTACTATTTATGACATCTGTAATCAACAGTTCTTACCGACTCTTTTCAAGGTTGCTATATAAAGAAAATTTAGAATAAAATATCTACTGCAATTTTTAATATTCGATTTTTAACACTTATAAAAATGTGTTAATTCATTATTATATTGAAATATTTTTTAAAAGTTGTATATTAAAATTTTGCAGAATTAATTAATTTTTACTAATTTTTAAAATACTTTTCATGATTTACTTTTAATTATAATTTTGAAAAATGAGCTCAGAAAGTACAATCCGTGGATGTTCTATGTTTATTCCTAAAATTGTACTGTTAGTTCATAACATAATTGAGTAGCTGGAACTTAATCATGTATGTGGTTGATATATGAAATTTTTCTTATATGGTATTTTGTTTGTAATTTTGTAGGTTAATTTTATATTAAAAATAATTTAATCAATTTTAATTGTATGTATTTCTGCTAGTATAAGAAAATGATAAATATAAGGGTGTGTAGAGGTATATTAACATTTTAAATATTATGAAAATATTATATTGTATCAAAAAACATATTGTGCGTTAGTTTATAAATGCATCAATAAATAAAATACATAATCTATTCAATTTCAATGTAAAAACTTTTATGAACATTTTTACACTATTTCGTAAAGTAAATCTGGACAATTGAATATCTATTGGAAATAATTTCTATCTTAGTATACTCTTAATAGAAGATCTGTGTTTAAATGCGAATGAATTGGATGAAAAGTATCGAATTAATTATATAACATTAAATTTACTTTTGATCTATAGTATAATAAGACATGTAAATAATGCGACAAAAACGATCATAAACTTATAAGAATTTTCGTCAATTTAGAATTGTTTCTTCCGGTATCAACATTTGAATAACTTGATACTTTTTATTGAAATGATATAGTTTTTTACCTTAGGTATTAAGACGTTGGTAAATCACTAACTCCAGGATTTTTATAGCATTTATTTTCAATATTTACCTGTCTTTAAGTACTACCTCTCAATATGTTTAAGAGCAGATATTTGAATAATGTATATTTTCAAGTTTTACTTATTATTATATTTTTCACCATTAATTAAGTTTATTCGCTTGTTTACTTAATATTGTACGATACACAAATTAATATTCTTTCAAACAATCATTGCATTATTACCAACAATATAAACTCTATTTTCTATGAATGTATTCAATTAAAATTATTTTCGAAAAAATTGAATTTATTAAACTTTTAATTTTTATAACAAATAAATCTAAAATTGTATAAATATAATGCAATGAAATATTGTTTTAATTATCAAGAATTATCATTTAAGCATTTTCAATCTTTTAAATTAATTTTAAATGCTATTCAATATAATGCATTTTAATTATATAATATATTTTAATTATAAAAAAGGATTGACTTTTATATTTATTTTTTATCGAACTTAAGATAAACAATTGATATGAAATTGTTTAATGATTTCTTTATAATTGGTACTTGTTTTATATTTATACAACAGTAATTTTTAAATTGTAACTTTGTATTTAAATATTTAAAATAGTGATTAAAAGTGAAAATAAAACATTTATAATAATGTTATATTTCTCAAATAGAAAAATTTTTTTTTTGATATTTTATATGAATTAATTAATAATACTAAAGTACTACTAACCCTAGAAAGAGTAGTGAGTTTCAGCATCTTGTAGTATTTTATACACTATGGGAACTTATATTATTTTCATATTATTCTTAAATATACAAAAATTAAATAATTAAATAATATTTCACGCTGTTATTTAAGAATTATAAGTATAGAATAATGTTTATAAAAATATAAAAAATAAGCTTATCTAGTCGTGTAATACAAGATATTTTAGAGAACGGCTGGCCGATAATAACCATGTAGGAATACTGACGTTTGATGTTATACTGCCGTGAGTCTAAACGTACTTATAAAATGTCTATATAATATATATAAAAGTGAAAGATTTATGTGTTTTATATAAAAAAGTGAAAAATAATTACTTGTAAAAGTCTAAATTCCAATATTTATGTTTTCTTAATTTCTATTGTTTGCTGATATTCTAAAGTTCTTTTTACAAATAGGTACAAACCCCATATTTTTTCAATATCCTAAGT